CCTTTGATATAAGGGGAGTAAACAAGGACAGGGTAGGGACGAAAGTTTGAGAAGAAGATTTACATTAAACAGGGATGAGAGGTGGGAGGGATAGGCCCATTCCTCTTAAGGGCTTTGCTTACTGCCTCCTGTGTCTATAACGCCTTCTAGTTGCTTGCAGGACTGAGAATTCAAATCTCAGCTCATATGTTTCTGCCACCCCAGTAAATATCACATTATTCTATTTTCTTCACAGAACTGACCACTATTTGAAATTGTCTATTGTCTGTTTCCCCCCACCAAAGTGTAAGCTTAGATTTTGTCATTCCTTTTCTCACTTGTATATCTAGTATATAGAACAATACCTGGAACATAGTAGGTATGACCATACCTGGAACAGTATCTGGAACATAATAGGTTTCTAAGGTTTGAATATTTACAGACCTTAGAAACTTCCCAGAACCTGTCCCAATCATAATCCTCTCCTTCTACAAGTAAACATAAAAGTGACTTGTGATAATCTTTCCTAAGTTTTCTCAGGTTTTTGAGTATCTTTGCATGTTAATTAATATAGTTTCTGTTTTTGAATTTTATATGTGAAATTAACAATATAGTTTATGCATGTTAATTAATATAGTTTTTGTTTTTGAATTTTATATGTGAAATTATGATGTATGTATTTTGTGTCTACTGATTTTCCTGATAGCCATACTTTTACATGTATAGAGTTAATTGATTTTAATTATTATAGAGGATGCTTTTTAAAAACATTACCAATTATCCATTCTACTGCTAATGGACATTTGGATTATTTATAATTTCATGCTATTATAAACAATCCTGCTGAGAACATTCTTACTCTATATTTATGAGTTTCTATACTCTCTAGAGGTATATACCTGGAAGTGGAATTGCTAGATCTTAGGATATATATATCTTCAATTTTAGTAGTGTAGTGGCAAACTATTTTCTAAAGTGATTGTATCAATTTACACTTTGAGAACACTTTATGTATTTGGAGATTGTGTTCTTAGGTTAGATGTTCATTATTCCTATTGTTTTTTTCTTTTTCTTCCTCTGTTAACTTGTGTTAACAAACATTTTCTCCCATTCTATCACTTATTATTCCACACTTCATGGAAGTTTATAATTTTAATGTAATCCTATTTAGACCTTTTCCAAAGTTAATTATTATTTATTCCTAAAGGATTTATTCCCTACTCCAAGTCCGAGAAGACTTTCTGGTAGATTATCATCTAAAAGCTTTATAGTTTTTGACTCATTAAGATCTATAATCTGCCTGAAATAGGGTGCATTATTTGTTGAAGAACTTATCCTTTTCCCACTACTTCTCATTGATATCCACTCAGTGTTCAGATGCTCAAATTATTTTTTATAGTTTGTTTTGAATAAGGATCTAAATAAAGTCCATGCTTTATTGACCTTTAAGTTGATTTTAGTTCATAAATTTCCTCTATATCCTCCAACACCCTTATTTTTTTCTCTTGCATTTTATTGATTAATCTTCCTTAGTCTAAATTCACTGATTACATTGCTTTGGTGGTTTCACACGTTTCCTCTACCTTCTGCATTGTAGCTAAAAGCTACAGATATTCAAGATACTAGTATGAATTACCTACGTTTAAGTAGTTAAAGCCATAAATTTCCATCTAAGCGCTGTTTTCCTTCATGCCACAAATTACCTAATTCATATTTTTCATATTTTTGTGATTTGTTTTATCCATGGGTTATTTAGAAATAATTATTATAATTCTGAATTTCCAGACCTCGTAGAAATTGTTTTTATTTTAAAATTGTTTTTATTGAGAGATACCTTACAAACCATAAAATCCACCCCTTGAAGTATATATGTAAGTGGTTTTTGGTTCATAAAGTTGTACGATCATAACCACTACCAAATTCCAAAATAATTCCATCACTCCAGAAAGAGATTCTCTACTTGTAGCAGTCACCACTCATTTTTCCCTTCCTTGGTTCCTGGAAAATATTAATCTCCTTTCTGTTTCTATGGGTTTGCTTATTCTGGACATTTCATACGTAAATAGAATTATATAGTATGTCTAGCTTCTTTCACTTGGTGTTTTCAAGGTTCATCTATGTTGTGGCATGTGTCATTACTCCTTTTTTTTYCCCCATGTGACTGGAGATCTAACCTAGAGCCTCACACATGCTAAGCAAGTGCTACCATAGAGCTGCATCTCCAGCTCTTTTTGCTTTTAGAGATAGGGTCTTGCTAAGTTGCCCAGGATAGACTCAAACTTGTGATCTTCCTGCTTAGCTTCCTGAATAGTTGGGATTACATGTGCACACAATCTAAGTACTCCCTTCTTATAGCTCAATAATATTTCACTGTGTATGTCTGTGTATATATGCACCCTACATTCTATGTATAATCATTTGAAGGACTTTGAGTTCTT